AGATGGGAGATGGGAGATGGGAGATGGGAGATGGGAGATGGGAGATGGGAGATGGGAGATGGGAGATGGGAGATGGGAGATGGGAGATGGGGGCGGTTGGTAAGAGGAAGGAAGCAGGGAAGGCAATGCTGGAAATGCTTAGATTATACGACGTGTATCGTCCGGTGGAGCACACCACCATGCACACGGCTGCTCTTGCCGTGCGCCAGCATGTGCTGCACGCACGCATGCACGCACGCACGCACGCGTGCGCGCGCGCACACACACACATACACACACACACACACACACACACACACACACACACACACACATGCAAAATGGCACACCTTGCCGCGGCCTCCTCATACGCGCTCCCCCCTCCCCACCCACACACACAGCTGCAACAATCCGCCGCACGGACAGCAGTCGACGGCATTGGTATGAACAAGCGGGAGCGGCAGCTCAACGCGCACCTGCTCGGAGACGCCAAAGCATTGCTTGGGTGGGGAGGCTGAGTCGGCAAATGCTGTCACCAAGGATGGAGTCGACGGCGGGGTTGTCAAGTCTGTAACAGCCAATTGCGGAATATGTTTCGGTCGGTGGATGACGATGTTTGTTATAGGGGCGGGGCGGCGGGGGGTTGGAGGCGGTTGGAGGGCTTGGCAGGGGTCTTGCATGCTTTCGTGTGGCATAACGGTGGGATGGAGGGGTGGGCATGGTGAAACAAATCGGCTGCATGTACACATGTGTACTGCCTGGCAGCGGGATACCTGCCGGAGCTGTAATCTGCCTGCATGGCCATAGCCGGCAGCACACCGCCACAGCACAGCACTCCAGGGCAGCCGCAGCTGGACGCGCGCAGCAGCACACGGCTAGTTGTGCTTGTGCAATTGCCTGCCGGTGGTGGAACCAGATCATCAAGTCTGCGCAACAGATTGCGATATTTTCTGTCTCTAATTCTTTTCATTGATTTTTCATGCGGTTTCTAAGGTGCGCCGCGCGGCAGGTTCAATGGTCGCTCAATCATCGCCCGTTGACCGCCGCCAGCGGCAGACTGTCCGTGCAAAATAGAAATGTAGCGGAGGATGTGCGGCACATCGGACGCAAATAAAACCATACCTATACACATATACAAGGGATGTTACAAGGGATGATCGTGCGGTCAAAGTCATTTGTTTGGTCTCACCTGCTTGCCTCTTATGCACACATGTTGTGCAACGTGTGCTCCACCTTTGAGGCACCTTTCCATCCCGAGGTGATGGATGAGGGGCCTCAAACTGGCAAGATGACATGGCAGCCTTGCACCGAAACGTTTGCGGCGCGTGCTGGAGGGCTGATGCACAGGTTCGTCCAAATGCCCAATCATCAACAGCCCAGGGTAAGACTTGGGTGGTGGAGGTGATCCAAATCTGAGGACCAATGTCGCACCCCGTGCCGGTTGTGCATGACCCCAGGGATTACATCATCAGTGCACACCCGGGGGGCTCGCTTTGAGCTTCCCAGGGTATCCACCTGTTTGGTGGAAACAGGAACCCCCTGGGGTTCCTCCTCTGGGCGTGGCCAGCCAATCAGAGGTTTTCGTGCACATTACGGATTTTAACATATTGGCTGTGACCTGCTGCTTATAAACCACAATAGTCACGGGCAAGCTAAAAAATTTGAGTATTACAGTCTAGCAAGCCCGCATACATAGTGGCACGCAAAATGGCGCAGCTCAGCTGATCGCCGGCAGGCCCGACGGCAACCGTGCGCGTGCTCCCTGGTTTCTCCGACCCCCGCGCATCCACTCAATAAATCGTCCCTGCGCATGCATGCAGCAGTGCAACCGGCACCCAGAAAGTAAAGTTTGCCTCAGCTCTCCAGGTGCAAAAGACAACACGGTCCAGATCTAGCAAGCGCGGCAGCTGGCGCCTGCCACCTGGTGGCGCTGGACAGGCAAAGGCAAGGCAAAGCGCGCCGGCTGCGTGACAGGCATTGAGAACCCCCAGTCAACGAGTCAAACACTGTTAGCCTGCAAACAAGTCTCGTGGGCTCGGCTTGGGTTGAATTGCACAAAGCTGACAGGCACGCATCCGGCCAAGCAAGGCAGCAGCATGCGGTGGATGGATGGGAGCCTCTGAGTAATCCTCGCTTGCCGGCTGACCGCAAGCGCCCTTTGACGCAGCGCTTATCAAACGCGCTCAAGTGTCTAAAGGCCCGTCGCCTCCTGTCCTGGCGGATCTTGCACGCAGGCTGGCGGGGGGCGTCCAGCGCCCGAATCCGGCCACCTGTACCAACGAGGTGCGTGCCTGCCGCACGCAGGCGAGGGCGCGTGCTTCAGCTGTCGCGCCCCTCTTTCCTCCAGGGAGCGGGCGCGAAAAGCTCGGTTGGGTTATAGTGCGCGGGGCTGGGGCTCAGCCTCGGGGGCCAAGCTTGCGCCGCCCCTTTCACGGGAGGCAGCAATCATTAGGCGCCCTCAAACGCAGGCGCCAAGAATGCGGCGGCACGCCCGAGGCCGGACTCGTGCCGCCCGTAATTAGCATAGAGGAGGTCACCGCGCAGAGGCGCCATGTGCATTCGGCCTCTGGCCGCGCAGCCCAGTGGGGGGCCAGCAGGGCGGCGCGCAGCCACACGCAGGGGGCCGGTGAGGCTGGGTGTTTTCAAGCGCGCGCCCCGATTTTTGCAAGAAGGCCGTGTGCTTGTGCTCGGTACATCAGAGTGTAATCATCATGTGTGAGGTAAACATGGCATTTGGCCTTTGGTGCGCCTCGCGCGCCCGCGGGACGGGCAGCGCCAGCAGGCGCACCCCACGTGGTGGGCGAGTTGTCCATGGGTATGATATGTAATGGTGCTGCAAGGGTGGCACCGGCGGCCGCTGTGAGGGGTTTGGGGCAAACCAGGGCCTGTGAAGGCTCTTTCCACAAAGATCAGTCCCTGCTGATGTCGCAGTTGGGGCGAGCAGAGAAGGGATTCAAACCAAGGTGCTGTGCACGAGCGCGACAAAACCGTCAAAACCTTGGGGTTCAACAACCGCTGGGCAACGAAAGCGTCGGCATCTTGACAGAACCGTGGGTGAAACCTAGGTGTTGACAAGAGAACAATGCCATGCGCGCTGGCAGCGCAGCAGGGCCTGGACCGGGCCATAGAAGCCGCCAGGGTCCAGCGCAGTGAGCGGGATGCTTGCCCCTCAGATCCCTTGTACCTGCCAACAACTCAAGGATGGCGGGGCCAAATCCGACGCCCCCAGTAGCAGAACAGCGGGCACGCAGACACATCGCAGTGTTGTGAGACTGGATGGACTCGTGCATTGTGCGGGTGGTGCAGACCGTGCACGCACGTCAGTCGCGGACGGCCTACAGCGGAAGCAAAGCCCGCGTGCACGAGGGACTGATGTCACGCGATGGCTAGAAAGCGCATCAAGGCTGTGGGCCGGCGCCGGCGCAGCGGTACAAAGCAGTGCAGCGGGAGGGCGTGGTTGGGGCCACGCGTCGCCAGAGCCAGGGGCGGGCCCCATCCCGCAGCCTCCGGATTCAACGGGTTGGATACCAACGCAGTGTGAGTTTCAGGTGGGTTTGGGGGCCGCCTCGGAAGCCGCCTTCTAGCATGTTGCCGATTAAATCATAGAGCAGGCTGGAACGGTTTTGGGCAGGGTGCGGCAAGCAGTAGCACACATGCCGGGCAAATTGACGACCTGGGCGGCTCGCGTGGTTGGCGGCGACCGGAGATGGCCACTGCTTGCCGGCTCGCGTCCCATGGGAGGGTGCGCGGCACGCCGGCGGATTCGCTGCCGGGCGCCGCGGGCGCGACAGGGGCTGGCAGAGTGCATGTTAGGGCCTGGCGGCGGCTTGCGCGTGCGGCCAGTGTGTGAGGCAAGGCGGCAGGGCGCCAAGCGAAGCTCACAGGCCGCAGCGCGCGGGGGGTTGAGCGAGTGGCTGCGTGGCCTTTGTGAGGCACACGGCAGGTGAACTGCTGGAGGGGTGACCAAGGATTTGCAGGGCTCGTTGGGACCAGCCCTGGGGCGCACGCGCTAACAAAACAGCGGCGGCGCATTACTGCCGCAGCGCCCTGGGGACATTCAGGGCCCGGGACCAGGGACACTCACAGTTCGCAACCCGTCGTACATTCCTAGAGACTGAACCAGGGCCGGCCCGGCCGCCGACGCCGCTCGGCATGAACCGGCGGCGCCAGGCGCCCGCCAGCCACACCGAAAGTGGCTTTCAAGTGAAAAGAAAGTCTCAGGCTTCTTTTGGTGCGTAAGTATAATTCAAATGACTCACCAGGCCAGGCCGGCCAGCTGCAGCACCTCGGGGGAGACCTGGAGCAGCAGCCTGTCCAGGCCAGCACGCGGCCACACGGCGCCCGCGGCGCCGAGCGCGCCACCGCTGGCGCCGGCGCCCGCCGGCGCCGACATCGCGGCGCGGTGCGGGGCGGGTGCGGCGATCGATGGGGCCCACCCGCCGGCGTCGACGGCGTCCTCTGTGGCGG